ATATAAGTCAAGCACGTTTATTTTCGCTTCCTAGGAAGTCAAATTAATGAAACAACAAAGAAATGATTAATGATGATGTGTTTGTGAAAGTAAATTGCATAGAAGAAAAAAGAGCTTTTTTCTTCAGGAAAGTTTGTGCTGATTAGACATTGTGAAGAGTAAAGACTTCTGAAAACTAGAAACTTTGCAGCTTCTTTCAAGCTACACTTCTCATACTTTCTCTGGTGCCTTCAAAAATAAATAATTATCAAAGTGACATGTAGAACTCTGCCTTGCAAAAAGCTGATGTACTAATTCTGAAAAGAGATAGTTTACTGGGTTTTTTTTTTCATTAGGAGAGTCAAATCTCATTACTGATATTGTTTTAAAAAGACCAAAGGTTCCACTGGTCTAGCTCTTGACCTTGGCTTCACACTGGAGGGAATTGGGCAGCCTTTTCAGATACTGATATCTGAGTCCTACTCCAGAGATACTGGTGTACAAATGTCCCTTGACATGTAGGAGACTGCATCCCAATAAATCCTTCATAAACTGGAAGTATTGTAGGCCAGTAAAGCCTACAATAGCATAACAAACCTATTGGACATCACAGATAGCCAATACAAATACAGTGTACTATGGACAAGACACATACAATATTAGCCCAGCAAAAAAGTAAAATTCAAAATTTGAAATGTAGTTTCTTTTGAGTACATAAGCATTTTCACAATGTAATAAAGTAAAAAAAAAAAAAAAAAAAAAACCTTAAGTGGAACCATGGTGAGTCAGAGACTGTCTGTAATTGGTTGGGGTAAGACATGGACAGTAAGATTTGTAGAATCTGCCTGGGTGATTCTACATTCAGCCAAGTATGAGAAGCATTGCTTCAGTGAGCTTGTTAAGATGTCCATCTTTTTTCTATTACCAGTAACTTGTACGGAGTTATGCTAATAAGTATAAATGTTTGTTGAATAAATAAAATTAAAAATGTCTTTGGAGAGTTGACCATTCCCTCTATGTGGCAGAGAAAATTGTTAAAAGAAAAACAGAAAAACACACATGAGGGCCAGAGATACAGCTCAGTGGCATAGCGCCTGCCTGGCAGACACAAAAATCTGAGTTGGATTCCCGGTAACCAAAAAAAAAAAAGTCGGGGGAAAGGAGGGAATAATAAGAAAAACATACAAGAATAACTTTACAGTTTTCTTCATATTTAAAATCCTTAAGGATTTCAATCATCCAATAAGAAAAATCTTTTTCACCATTTTTTAGCATCAACTTTAATATCAATATCCTAACATGTTTTTCCTCAATTCAGAAAGTCCGGAGTACCAGCAAGTGAATATGCATGCCATGATACACAAGATGCTAGGCAGAATATGTATGATCCATTGGAGAATGTAGGACAGTAATTAGATTATTGATGATCAGGGGATTGGATGATGTTACCCTATGCAATGGAAGCATGAGCAATAGTTCTTCCTCAGTCTGGAGGATCTGATGGGCTTCCTGAAATAAATATCATCCACCGCCAAACACAAGAGAATAAGAATCAGCCAAGAGAAAGATCAAGAACAAGTTCTGGGCAGAGGAATAGCATGTGTGAAGGAACAGAGGCATGGCAATATAAAAGTAGCTCGGTGGCATCAGAGCCTGTGCTAACGCAGGTGTGTAAATGGGGAGAAGTGGTCTCCTGGGGAAGCCAGTGGGGGCCCAAGACTTGAGAAATTAACAAGGTAGATCATACAAGATCATGGAAATGTTTTCTCTTGGGCTGTCTTATCGATCTAAAGAACAACTCATCATTCATTTTTATGTAGGAAAACATTATAACTTAATTTGAGTTCTTATGAAGATTTTTTATTTTTATTTTTGCTACAAAGAGATGACCAGACCTGAAATGAATTATTATGAACTTCTCTGTAGAATCAAAAGCTGGAGGTGCAGGCAGGATAACTGTAGGTAGTTGGCCTTCCCTTAAGGGAAGAGTTCACAGTGGTGGGTATGGATTTAGGAATCATCAGCACAAGAGCAGTCATCGAAGCTAAAGGAGCTTTATCCTGGACAAATGTATAGATCAAGAGAGAAAAAAGAACTCAGAAATCCCAACACAGAAGCAAAAGGCAGAGGGCAAGAGCCAGAAAAGAAAATTGGAAAGAGGTGGAGAAGAAGAAAAAAAATCGGGCACAAGAAGGAACAGAACCAAGGAAGAAGACTCTCAAGGAGGGTGAAACCCACTATGGCATAGAAACAGAGCTTATTCACTTCTGAGATGTGTCTCACTAGGTCTCATTCCTGTGTCTTTCTCATCCCTGTCCCAGAGCTGGGTACAGAGTGTGCATGTGAAAATGTGCCTTCCTTGCTGATTCTAGGTGGAGTGGGCCAAAGCTGGAATAGGGATCTCAGAGAAAGTCAAGGCTAGCACTTACCCTACAATGGAGTTTGGAAGAATCAGGAAGAGAATGCATTTGACTGTTATTCTGGTAGTTGCTTCCTTATTTTTAAAGAAATGAGCAACAGCAATACCTAACATAGCATGTGTATGGAACTTTAGTTTATAAAACATTTTTAGTATGATATACAACTTTCAGCCTCAGAAGAATGATGTTGAATACAAATAATTAGTAGCCTTTGTGTGACAGATAACTAATACCCAATACATTGAATACATTGTTCAGAATCACACAAATTGCAGATCTAACCATCAAGTATTTGTTTGTCCCCCTACTATACATTGTACAATGCATACACTAACATGTGCCTGCTCTCTCCAGGTGGTTTCCCTGCCTGATTTTCTCAGTTTCTTCTCTTCATGTGTGTATGTCCTAAGAAGAATTTTAGGGGCCCAATTGTACAACACTGGGCTTTTTCCAGGGAGGAACAAGGTGGACATATTTCATTGGATAAACACAAGTGGCAAGTGACTGTGATTTACGCCTGCTGTGCAAACTTCTGATTACCAATCGTCGCCTACTATATAAACAGGTGTAAACTAAGATTTAATCGGTTTACACAGGACAGTAAATAATTTAATCTCTCCTTAGCATGGTGCTTGCGAATGTAAATGTTTAAGCCAAAACTGTTGCTGATTTTGTGATGCAAGCATCCAGTTTCTCAGCCAGAAAAGCTGGGTCCACACATGGTTCTTAAGTGCCCCTGCCTCGGGGTTTTCAGACTGAGACAGAAAACCCAGAGTTCTGGAAGGAAAGTTCATTTTGCCCACCAAGAAGATCAGCTTCAGGCCTAGACAACTGGCAGTCAGCTCTCTACCCTGTCATGTCCTGATACATTTCTGTCTCCGTCAATTGTTCTTCACTGTTCGGCTCTGCAGATATCCAAAGTGACTGCTAGTGCATTAAAAGCCAGACCAGAAAAGATGGGGGGAAAGCAGGAAACAGCAGCTACATACCATCCTCACTTGAAGACTGCTGGGCACTCACCGCCTGTAGGTGTGCACCTAAGTGAATAGCACCTAGATCCTATGAAATTCACTTGCAATGGGTTCTCCATTGTGTAACTGTTCACTGCGCTTAATAGGGTCCCCTGAAGCACAGGGGCCACCTGCTATGAATTTTTCATCATTATCACTCATGTTCTAATCAACCTGGTTATTTCCTCTGGTTGTAAGGGCAGGAAGAGGATTTGTTCTTCTCTTCGCATGTTTGAGTCCAGGCTTTTTTAAGGATGAAGTAGCCAGGACCAGGCCAACATTCTATAATTTCCATGTTAACATGGCTAAAGAGTCAACAGCATACCAAGAGTGGGTGCAAGCCAAAGGATAAGATTTTTGATATTATTTTCTTCCTTAAAGAAGTCTAGCGTATAAGCAAAGGTTATAGCTGCAGCAGCATTGGTAATGCCATGGCTTGGATTTTGATAGTTAAAAAATCTTAAAACATAAAATTTATGCTCATGGTTTGAACTGAACCCTAGGTAAGAAATGGGTTTGATTTTCTCCTGTACCTATACACAGTATGGGAAGAACATCTACTACTTACTAAATAAAAAGAATTTCTTTTATTCTGAAAAACTTGTATGTTTGTTAAAAGTTTTATTCTTTTCTAAAAATGTTTACAAAGTTTTTGACATGAGCCAGGCACTGTAATGGGTATCTGTTCTCTTGTTCAGTTCTCAGCTCAGCCCTCTGCTCAAGAGCATTTACCCAGCTTTAAAAAGGAGTCCAAGACACAAATGGTAAAGTCATTTAGCTGAGATTTCTTGGCAGGTAAAGGAAAGACCAGCATTTGAGTCCTAGGAAGACCCCCTTGAGAGCCTATTATTTTAAATTATATTATAAAATATTTGCCATTCTTATTCCCCATGCCTTCAGATGCAAGGCATTTCTGGCTTTGACTCTGTGACTGTGAGTCCATCTAATTCAGGGGGGAAAAGCAGAAAGATTATAACAGAAAATCAATAACTATACTATTTTGCATTTTATGTTTTCAAACTAAACGCACTGATAACTCAATTAGCACCTATATCAGCCTTACTAGGTAGCTATCATCATCATCATCATCATCATCATCATCATCATCATCTCTATTTTAGAGATGAGGAAACTGAGGCAGACAATGAAACATCCCCACTGTGACACAACTACCTAGCAAGTGTTTGGATCACTGACCACACCAGGCAGTTTTGGCACAAGCCAAATGGCAGAGCAGATCTGGAGTCCAGTGCCATGAATAATGCTTAGTGGACCTGACAATTAATTACAAAGAAAATAACGACCAGGACAGAAATTCTTTTAAAAACCATATAGCTGAAACTATGGCATCTCCTACAGGAGACGATGTCTTTAAAAATAAAAAAGAAAAGTGTCGCTTGCCTGTTAGGACCGGAGAATATAAATGCACACATGAAGAGAGATTATACCGAAACAAATACAACAAACAGTAGGTATCCCAAAAGATCTTCCCACTATTTCCCGAGGAATGACGTGCGATTTTACAAATGAGGAAATATGAGCCAGGTTTGAGGGTCATGAGACAATGGAGCCTGAAAACACTGCCACTTACTTCCTGAATTTCCTCTCTGTTCCCTCCACCACATAGTAGCCTGGTTTGCATTCATATCTGCAGACAGTGCCCACGTCGTGACCACCCCTCATACAGCGAGGCAGGAGCAAGTTGGCATTTGGAATGACAGGGGGAGCGTCACATTCCACCTTGCAGTAGACTTCAGGAAGTGACCATATCCCATCTTCAAGGCAGGTCAGCCACGGGCTCAGTCCTGACTCCAAAAAAGAGAAATACAGGGTGCTCAGAAAGTGGAGTGAACAGTCAAAAGCATGAAAATCTGTCAGAGCATTAAAATTCTTCAAAAGTCACAGTCTCCTTTTTTGAGCGGAGTCTCTATAATCTACATCAAATGTTCCTCCTGTATCTTATTACCCACAGAGCATCCATTGTGGTGTTTTATAAGGAAAGAGGTCATATAAATTGCATCTAGAAGGACTATGAACTAAATCATTACCTTCCTTCCTACTCAAAAATAATAAAAAATACAGCAGTGATTGTAACACAGACAGCATTAAAATAATAGTGTATGACATTTTTGTCATAGTTACTATGTACCAGTCACTGTTTAAAGCATTTTATGTGTATTAAATTTGTAAATTCCAAATCACAAACAACCTTTGAAATAGACTATCAGCCAGATGAAGAAATTGCGGTTCAGTAATTTTCCCACCCTCTAAAAGAGCAGAATTAAGATTTGAACCCTAGCCATTTGGATTCAGAATTCTACTACAACACCACATCTCAGGTCTCAGTGTAATGCTTGGTTTCTCTGAGGGCAGTCCATGAATCTACTCAAAAAGCTGCACCAGCCCATTCTAAACAAAGTAAACTAGAATCTCTCAGAGTAAGGTTGGGAAATCTACATTTATGGCAAATGTTACAAATGCCAAAGTCTGAGAAGCCTGGAGAGGTAAAGAGCAAACTATCAGGATCAATTAGGCCAAAGTGTACCCCGTGTTCTTCCCTAACATTACATCCAATAATAACTGATACAACTCTCTGTTCTTCTCATCTATAATACAGAACAAAGCAAAACTGATCCGTGGAATGTCTGTAAAAACTAAACGTCAAAATGCACATAATAAAGTATACCTACTTTATTAATATAATCAAAACCATTGTGTTAATTGGTCAACTTGGTTAGGGGTTGAGGGAGGCACAAATCAAACAAAAACAAAGAAAAATCTAAGCCTCTTCCATAAATGATCCTGATTCAAGAAATCCTTTAAGGCAATCAGGCCCAAAGGATGGCATTGCCATTTGGGACTTTGTCTGTATTATCAGGAGCAGGTGTCATGAGGGAGCCAATGAGAAGGGTGTGGTATAAAGAAGAAAGTCCCGAAGTTCCCCACAGAGAACAGGGGGTAACTGCCTGATTGCCCAGACAATACCTTGGAGCTTGGCTGGTGGCACACAAGAGATGGAGCAGCGTTTCAGAAAGTCAGTGCCGTCTGAGCAGGAGAAGTCCGCATAGTTCACCAAAGACGGGTCAGGGATGCCACAGTCGAGAGGCATGCAGCTCACATCCCGGTCCCAGACCCCAGCAGAACACGTGAGCAGGATCTCCTTCTAGAAATAGAGAATTTGCCCCTGTCAATGCCATTTGCATAGGTTACCGGAAGTTTTTAGACTTTGGAAGAGTCCTGGTAGTCATTTGTTCATACATTCAAGTCAGGAAAACTATTATGCCTTTCTCCCGGTCGACTCATCACTGTTTGAATGTATAGGCTCACGGTACCCAGGTGTGACAATGAAGAAAGAGCCTGTGAGTAAATAGCAGTGCCCTCCCCTTGTTTGTCCAGATCTATTCTCAGCTCCTCTCTGCGCTGTGATGTGCCCAAAGATCATGTCCCCTGTGGATCTCTTGTGATTACACTCTGTCCTGGGACACAGTAGCAGGAGATGCTTAGAGAGGGAGACAGATGAGGGCAGCCTGGGGACTTGCTCTTTCTTTGTCCTCCACAGAGAAGTGCTACAGCAGGTCAGTTCCACCCAGGGCTGCCCTCCCAAGCCTGCTGCTCCTTCATCCATTGGTTCTGCTGCTCCCTACAGCCAATATTTCAGGCTGAAGGGTGACATTCAAGCCCCTTCACCCTGGAATACCACACCACCGCCTGTGATTTCCTATATTTACCCATGCTTTTCTTAAATTTTTGTGAATTGCCTACTTTTGAACCTGGCATATTATTTCCTACTGGCACCCTTATTAAGTCAGTCTGACAAACAGAAAATGAAAATGGTCACCTCCACTGAGAAAGGTGCATAGTGCCTAAGAAGGGGTGAGAGTTAAGACAAACAATGCATCTTCTACGCCCTGTGGTTAAATGGGAGCTCTTCCAACCTTTTCTGGGGCCACCCTCGATCTGGATGCTACTAACTGAGGAGATGCTTGTTGAGTACTTAGAAATGCCAGATACTCAAGATGTCCTCTACTAAACAAGTTGTCCTTAAGGAGCTGAACATCTACTAAAGGAGTAAACCACATATTGAAACACTTGCTAAGGAGGGTAATGGAAAGAAGGAGAAAAGAGAAAAGGTAAAAAGGAAGTAAAGAAGGAAATCCAAGTCACATGTGGTGGTGCACATCTGTAATTGCAGCACTTGAGGGCTGAAGTAGGAGGATTATGAGTTGGAGGCCAGCCTAGACTATTGACTCCTCTCTCTTTCAAAAAAAGAAAAGTCAAGGCATACATTTTTGTGTTATTTTAAAAAACTTATTCCTATTTCTGTAATTATTGGACAGAATATAATATAGTGAATGTCAAAAATAAAGTAGATGATATAGAAAACTGGAATCCAGGAAGAAAAAAATATAAATGCTTGCATGCAAAGCCACATCATTTGCTGCCATGTGGGGGCAGGAGGGCAACACTGTGGGAACTGGAGGAGGGGTTGCCTGCCCTGGGCAGGAAGGCAGAGCACTTGAGGCCAGGGTGTAACACAGGGATTGGCCTTGTAAGAGGGTCGACGCCTTGCAGCAACTCAGGGGAGGTGGGAGAAGAAGGTGTCTACGCCAGAGATAGAATGAGACCTAGAAAACTTGGAGTTCATGGCTTGTTTGGGAAAAGCATAGCAGCCACTTTAGCACTGGGTTCAAGCTCATAGACAGAGAGGGTTATTTCAGAGACCAGAGTGGCACCACAGCCAAATGTCAAATGATTGCTGAAGGCACCTGCTGCCCCTGACACTGGCTCCTGGCTGTAGCTCGTCCCTGCTTCCCAGTGTTTCCCTGCTGCCTGCCAGAAAGATCCAAGTCAAATCCAAACACATTTTTCTACTTAGCTTTAGTTCTTGTGTCAACAACAAGCAAATATTCCCACTGTCTTGTGATCATGAGGCGGGCTTGTATCGTGTCCTTCACGGGGCCAGCCTCGGGTGACAGGAGTGGTCAGTCAGCAGCAGAGCTCTGTGGCTGAATCCACCATATGGTTGGCAAACAGTGAGCTCCCATCTTCTGCTCCCAACCAGATCCTGTCCCATACACGCTACACAGCGAAGTCTGGCTAAAACCACAAGCAACTAATCATTTAAAGAATGCCTCTCAAATTCTGCACACATTGCCTGGTTTTCCTCCTGGCTTTGTTAGGTATTATCCATTTTGTCTTAAGTTGCTCCTAATTTTAATGCATTGTAAACATTGTGCTTGCTTCTCTCTGCTTTATATATCATGCAAGGATATTTAGTTCCTACATTTTTGTTCTTTTCTACACTTTCTAACTTATTTCAAGGCACACATACTTCACCTGAGTTGAGGTGAGCTAAGAACAGATTATAAGAGCAGTTTTTTAACTAAAGTACCCTAGACCAATTAAGTTAGTTCTTTAAAAGACAGCAAAGCAATTTCTAGGCTGAATTTAAGACCTCTGAAACTCAAAGCTGTGTCTTTCTAACCATTTTAAGCAAGTGAAATACTTTCATGTGTTTGCAACCCATTAAGCAAACAACTGACAAGAAATTATTTTTAAAACTCCAATCTTCCAAACTGTTTAAATCTAACAGTCACACTACTCATTTCTGATAATACATCTTCATTGTTCTCTCCTTGAACCCTATTATCTTTTGCCTAATGCTTCCCTTTTTATCTCAAAATATGGTCATGTTTTCTAAAGGTTGGTTTCATGTTTTAAATTCCTTTGTAAAGTGTTGCAATCTTGCTAAAACAAAATTGGAGAACAAAGTTCATAGGACGACATAATTATGTTGATGATAATGGCAACTTAACCATTGACATGTGACTATCACTTTACTGGAAGCTTTTAAATTATTTCCAGCAAGTCATGTTAATAACTCAATGAAATGAGTTCTTGCATTTCTATTGTTTTATAAATGTGGAAATAAGCTTAAAGAGTTTCTTTTATTTGGTTTAACTTAAAGTTATATGCTTAGTACATAGTACAATTGAAATTTCATTCAAACCTGTCTTTTGAAATACGATCTGAACCAATATATTCTCTTATCTTCAAACTACATTGAAGTCTTGGAAATGGTGTTATAGAAACTTGGAATGGAGCTTGTAGAATGTAGAAATGTAGAAAATTCATCCAAAAGCTTATAGCATGATAGAATCTCTGCCTTAGTAATAGATTTAACACTTCTGCGGTGAAATCTTGCTGTATTTCTCCAATCTTCTTGGAAGGAATCACAGATTGATTACAATATATCTTGCCTGAAAATGATGAATGGGTCTATATCTTTCCATTCTAATCTCAGTTAAAAGTAGGGAACATCATTTCTGGCATGAAGATGAAAACAAGGGAGAACAGAATAAGCATTCATGTTGACTGCCCAACCAAAGAGCAAATTCATAACCTCATAAATAGACTTGCAAATCTTTTATACACCTTGCATTATTAGTAAGTCACGCTTCTTTTTGCATGTTACAGTTCCAGCCATTTTTTCCTTTTGAATGGCTTATAAACACTTGTCCTTCCCCAGTCAAACTAGGGGAAAGGGTATAAGTAGCTTCATGCCCTAGGAGCTTGGTTGTGATGAGTATGGGCTTCCAACTCACCTGAATGGGCCTCAGGTACTGCCCATTTCTGGTCTGAAGGGCAAATCCCCTTTGACAGGTGATAGCACACTTCATGTTACCTGGGCTGCTTGAGGTACAGTTCACCATGTCCGTGTGAGCAAGCAGCAATGGCACACAGCTGACCAGCTTCCCACAGGGCTGGTGGACACAGCTAGAGATAACAAAAAGAGAAGCATCTGTTATGGCTTACATCTAGATGTTCCCCTAAAGCCTCATGTACTCCTAGGTAGGATTTTGGAGAAGTGACTGGATTATAGGCTTGTGATACTGACTTAGACCATTGATTGATTTAGAATAGTTCTGAGGGTTGATGACAGCATTACTGAAGAAGAAAAACCCACCCTGGATGTGGCAAGAAACCACCGATAGGTTGGATGGAATAAAAAGGGAAAGAAAAGGAATTCTGTTTCCTGTCTTCTATGACAAGCTGTTTCTCCTCTGTCACATCCTTTTGCCATGCTGCCCTGCCTTGAAACCAGCAAACCATGGACTGAACCGCTACAAAATGTGAACTAAAATACATATTTCAAACTTTAATTTGTAGGTGTTGAGTACTTTGCCCTAGCAATGAAAACTGTAACTAAGCATCTTAGAACTGACTAAAAACCAATAGTAGCAGTGACTTAGCAACTCCATGTAGGAAATACACTTACAGAGACAATAATCTTTCCCCAAAATCTACATTTAACACATCACCTTGTATATTTCTCAAAGCCATAACACATGATAAACATAAACAATATCAGCTGGTGAGCAACAATTTACCATCTTTGCAGGGCTCTTCCAAAAGAATTACAGGTGATGGGATAAGGTGGAAAACAGATCCCAGGAGCTCTAGACGATATTAGAAATGAACAGATCAGGGAATTACACTTGAAATATTGAACAGCCAGAACTTATGGGTCCCAAACAATCTGAACACATCCAGAACAAAGCTCAGCACTGAATCCTAGAGATCCCTGGTTGCATCAGACAATACTCGTTCGATGCTTGCTCACAGAGGACCTAGAAGGTACTAAATAAAGGTCCTGGCTCTCTGAGCAGCAGAAAAGGTGAGATTCCTTTACAAACTGATGTGGAAATATTTTGACTAATGGTACAGCTAATACAACACACACCACTAAATATCAGCAATACTACTTATAAACTGGGTCCACTAAAGGAAGAGGAATTTCATACACACTGAATCCCTATGAAATGCCTGAGATTGCACAGACATCATCTCAGCAGAGAACTGTTTTCTGGATCAATAAGATCATCCAGACAGGAACAGGAGAGATGTATAAGCTTCCCGGGATTCAAGAAGACTCAGAGTGGACCTAGACCTGCATAACAGCAAGGAGGCAATGGACCAAGAAGAATGTAGCCCTCATGCCAGGACTGAACCATAAAGATTAAAATTTCAGCATTAGCACCAAGGTAATAAGTTTGAATTCTGTACTGTCTCTTGCACCTGTGTGATATGGAATGGATTATTCATTTTCTAGCATTTCAGCCCCTTCTCCTATAAGATGAAATGATGTTTTAATCACTTTCCTCAACACTGGGACAAAATACCTGACCCCCAAAACTTAAAGGAGGAGGGGTGAATGTTGGCTCCTGGTTTTAGAAGAGTCAATCTATAGTCAGCTGATGCCAAAATAGGAAGGCTCTATCAGAAGAAAGCTGTTCATGGCACGGCAGCCAGAAAGAATAGGGTGGTGGGGGGCTAGGGATTTAGCTCAGCGGCATAAGCGCCTGCCTTGCAAGCAGGCAGTCGTGAGTTTGATCCCTGGTACCGATAAAAAGGAAAAAGAAAAAAAAATAAGAATAGGGTAGAGGACAGAGTTGGGGAAGGAGTTATATACCCTTCCAAGTCATGCTCCCAGGAACCCACCTCTCCTGACCAGCCCCTCTTCAGTGGATTAATCAACATACTGATGAGTACAGTGCCCCATGACCCAATCATCTTCTAAAACTCCAAGCCCTATACACATAAACTTTTTGGGAGACAGTGCAAGTAAAAATGATAATGTATCATAATGGCATGTGTTACTATTCCCATGTTAATTTCCTCTACAGCTCCACTGCTAATAGCCCAGACTCTTACATCAGTGACTTGTTTCCTGATGATCTTCTGACTTTATCAATTCTTTCTGTACCTTCACTCAAATTTCTAAGAATTCTAAAAGGTGTTCCTGCTGCAAGAAGCCCCTGAGGATATTTTCCTCCTTCAAGCCTCTCAGTGAAATTGTAAAAGTAACTACCTTCTAATATTTCCTTTACTCTATCTTGTACTATGTATGCATTTTCTTGTTCTTAAATTTTTATTCACTTCTTTATCCAAATGCAATTAGTAGTTGAGTATTAGCTTGAGTTAATACTGAAGTATTAACTTCTTGAAGAGAAATATTTTCTCTTACCCACTTTAACACCATATACTTTGCTATAGTAGACACAACAAAGATACACAAGTTAAATTTCATATTACAGAGAGAAAGTAAGAGAATAGTTATTAAAATGGGAAATTACTAAATTAAATGCTGACAGATAGGGTTCTGAAATACAAAAATATTATCCAACAATGATCTACCATCTTGCCCCACTCATTCATTCATCAGTGAACATTTACTAAATGCTTCCTCTTGGAAGGCATTGTTCTGAACAGGGGTCCAAGGGCCATTCCCTGAACACACACAGACCGGGGGAAGGAGACCCTAGCAAGATGTTTTCTAACAAAATGCTGACTTGCTCTTGGTGTTGTTGCCAGTGGTGCTGATTACTAGCCTAAGTGGCTAGTGAACCTCATCAATAATGTTTTCTATTTGCCCTTGGATTGTGTTAGAGACAATTATTATATCAAAGAGCTTGGTAAATATAAAAGAAAGTGGAAAATAAAATATCATTGAACATGCACATATATAATGGAGTTGATGAAAAAAACGTAGTAGCTCAAGAAGACCTGATTTGATCTGTGATCAATTGGCTGTCCCTAACCTTATACCCATGGGATTTAAATCATATGCCAGTGACATTCTTATTTATTTTATTCATGCTTGCTGGGTATGTGACAGGGGAACAGGAGGTGAGGAATGTGAAATAAATTTTTTACTCCTTTATTCCTGGTGGCGATGTGATGTCCATCATGGAAGCAAAGGAAGGGAAGAATAAATGAGTTGAAGAAGGGGGAATTGTTAATGACACAAATTCCCAAATCCAATGCTGATTGTTGTGCATGTAATATAAGAAATAAATCTTTGTCTCTGAGTCTTTATTTACTATTTGAATAAAGGTGTTAAAGCCTGACCATCTTCTATGGACTGAGATCAGAACACTTAAGTAGTGATGCTAAAGAACCCTGAGCTCTATTAACACCTGGGTTCCTGTGAACTCGTTGCCAAGAAATCAGTGTGAAAGCCTACACAATATTTTCAGTGACTTCATTCACGTAATTCACATCATTGAGGACAGATACAGGCTGAGACAGGATAGAAAACAAATAATTAAATGATGACATAATTAAATGATGAAATTAAATGATCACACCATCATGATGCTGTGAACTGTGGAATGGAGAGCTGCTTGACTCCCAGGGTGGGCAGCAGAGGAGGAGGGTGGGAAGAGCAAGACAGGGAGCACACCAGAGGGAAAGTGGCCCGCAATAAGACCAAGACCAGGAAAAAGAAAAACGGAGAAAGGACCAAACCCAGACCTGTTTATGAAGTGAGAAATGGTTTTAGTGCAGCTGCTGCAAATTCTTTCACTAGCTTATATTTCCATTTGCTTCCTTTTTAAGGAATTTGTTTTATGAGGACGGTGTTTGTCAGGTCGTTAGTTTCTGATGGCATCTGGTACCAATTGAAAACTTCTCTCTCTTGCACCCCAATCCCAGAGCCCCTTTAGTGTCTATCTTCCACTAAAAACATTGCCCCTCAGAGTGAGGCTGTAGTGAGGATGTCATTCTGCCCTCCCCCTGGCTACAGAAGCTATGGTATCATAAAGACATGCTAAGAGCAAAAATAATTCATCTTAAAGTTGTCTTCCTATGATCCTTGGACAAAGTTAAGGACAGTGGCAGAAAGGATACCATACAATGCCCCAAAGAGATGGGAAGAGAAGTATTTATCTTGGTTTGACATATAAGAAGCTAAAGCTGTGTGGAGACTGGCTGGAGGCCACACAGTGAGCCAGAGGAAAATCTCCAGCTGCATCTCCAAGCCATGCCTCTCAGGGCCAGCCTATACCAGGAAGCCGTCACCTCCACAGGGAGACAGCTTCTCTGATGCTTTCTTCCCCGCTTTAGGGCCTAGCAGCAAGCAGGGGTAAGTGAAGGAGCTCCTCAGACAGGCAGACGGGCATGTTTGTCCATTAGAGTTGAGTAGTTTTCCCTTAAACAATAGCAATCCAGCTGCTACTGCCTGCAAAAACCCTGTGAAGAGTGAGTCCTCCTCTGGCAACACACTTCACCCTTCCACCTACTTTTTCAAGATCTTTGCCACACCTCATCACACTGTGTTCTCAGGTGGGGCTATGGTGCTCCCCATCAGATGTGATTCACAGGTATTTCCATTTAAATAAGAAACAAAGTCTTAGCCAAAGGATGGAGTTTTTCCATAATGAAATTTCAAATCACTGGGCCCTTAGAAATCACACTATGCAGATGGTTGCAGTCTCTTTTCTTCTCTTAGAAACCTCTATTTTTTCTTCCAGTCTTTACTCCCATAGTTTAAAGGTCTTTAAAAATGCTTTCCATTGCAATATCCCTGTTTAAAATGTATTTGTATCCCTATTCAAAATGTACTTTATCCCCAGGATCTGAAAGTTCCGATAATCAATTCTAGCAGTGTCCTCTTCTGTCATGATGCATGTTTTCCCTTGGCTGGTTTGGTACAAGAAGGATGTCTGGAATTGAGAAACTTCTGTGGACACAGTTCCTTCTAAGATGGGCCCTCATATTCTGTGAGGCAGGGTTTCTCAACTATAGCCAGGCATACACTCCTGTAAGCATCTTTAAAAAAAACAAAGGAAGCTTCATGTGGTGGTGCATGTTTATAAGCCCAGAAATCTGGGAAACTGAAGCAAGAGGATCACAAGTTCAAGCTATCCTGGATAACTCGGATTTAGTGAGATCCTGATTCAAAATGAAAAATTTGAACAGGGTGAGGATCAGAG